ACCAGACTGTGGGTGCGAGGGGTGCCGAAGCCAGGGCAGGTTTTTCAAAATGCTCCATGTAGAAATTTGCTATAACCGGGCTGAGAGGGCTGCCCATGGCCACTCGATCTGTCTGTTCGTAGAATTCATTATCCCACTGGAAATAGCTGGTTGTAAGGCAGTGATGGAAGAGGGCCTTGATGTCTTCTGGGAATATCTGCTGGATGAGTATCAGGGTGTCCTTTACCGGTACCTTAGTGAACAGGGATACTACATCAAAACTGACCAGTCTATCCCCAGGGTTGAGTTTTAGGGTGCTGATCTTGCTTATGAAATGCCCTGAGTCTTTGATGTAGGATGAGGTTTGTCACAGCCATAAATACTCCACTCTCAAGCCTACCCAGAGCACAGTTTGCTGTCCTCTGAAGATGCCGGCCACAGAGACTGGCGAAACATTAGGAAGAACCACCTTCAGAACACAGTCAAGAAGCCCGAAAAACCCACAACAACCATATACTTTTCTGCTCATTGATGGATTAACTGGATTTTCTAATTTATTTATTTTAACCATCTTAGTATTGAAGTGTCTTTCTTTTAAATTGGCCTAGGTCAGTTAACTGGAGCATCTCTTTCAGTTTTCAAGGTAACTCAAATTTTCCTACTTTTATCTACTAGGAAAGCAGACTCATTTAAAGAAGAAAAGGACCATTACTCACTCTCATTTGATAGTTACTCAGAGTCATCAAAATCAAAGGCACGTGATCAGAGGTGAGAACTAAGGTTTATATAGTCAAATTTTTAATTTCCACCTCTTTCTCACCCGCACACAACCTCACCCCTGCTCACGCGCATGCCTCCACCCCATTGTGCACAGGGTTTTGTCATCACTGGAACCAAACACGATTGCTGAATAGAGGACAAAGAGAGCTGTGTACTTGTGCATGCACCTAGCTTAGAGGGAACCTTCATAGTCAATATTAACTGTACAAGTATTGAAGAAAGATTGTTGATTGTACTTTGATGCAGCAGATGTCAGTTTTTAAATTTACTAATTAGAATATGTCATCTTTTCTTTCACTTACATAATTTCTTGTTTACTTATTTCTTCACTTTTTATAAAATGAAAGCTTGTTTAGAATATTCATATTCTGCAGTTTGTTGTAAAGAAACAAACTGCAGAACATGTCAGTTTATTCCCCAGGATCTGCTAAATTTTGGAGTAGGAGACTTTGAACACAATTTTTTCCTTTGTTATTGAGACTGCCTTTGGTTTTCTGGACTTATTTCAAATATATTAGAATATCCCTTTGTTAATTGGTGTAAATGCTGAAGTATTATGTGATGTTATTGAACTTCCCAACTCCCAAGAGATTTTTTAAAAGAATTGTAGGCAAGATGTAGGTTCAGATTGGTGATCTGCTATTTATAGGAAGGCATAACAGAAAGCAAGCAGACAATAGCATTATCAACATATGTGAGAATGGTATTACTATATGTTTTCTGTGGAGTTTGAGACTGAGTCAAATGAAGAGGTTATACTTTTAAATACCTGTCAGGATGTAATTCTATAGCACCACTATATAATTCTAGGAATCCTAGTCCAACAATGTTCAGACAACCTTCTACATCTCCACTACACACCACATAGAATTGTACTGCGCAAACATTTGCTTTACAACATACACCATTTTTTTTCTATTACTGTGTTTAATTGTTGGCTGTGTCTTCCATTTTTAATTGAAAATATACGGAGAAGGAATTATGCAAGACTGACAGAAATGTTTTTCAAGGTTAGCAGCAAGTAACTCTTCCATCCTCCTGGATAGTGTTTTTTGCACCTGAAGTAGAAAATGCCAGATGCACCTCTCTCCTTCCATTTCAGTAAAAATACAATTAATAATTCTGATGTAACTTGCTTTTTCATGGTACTCAAAAGCTTGAGACTTTGCTTCACTTAGTAGTTGGATCTGCCTTGTCAGCTGGGTAAACTGCACACTGTAGAATTTTCAGCCACAGTTTACCAGGAGCAAATGGGAACTGTGCACATGCTGAAACATCACTTCTCCATGGATTACACACCAAATTATTCAACTTTAATGTTCTCTTTTGGTTGAAATCTCAAGATTGAATACAGTCCCTAAGGCAGTATGATGTCATCCTAGAGCTTAATGCAGTATCTGTTTTAAGTATATTTCTAGAACTGAAGACAAGGGACACTTTTAAACATGTTGCAGCCTGCAGCATATGGGTTATCTATCATTCACTAGTTGATTAAGCTAGCAAAAGTCCCTGTTACTGCTTTTGTATCAACATTTTAGAGCAATACACAACCAAGCCTCTTAAATTTTTGTGAAAATTGAGTGGAAGCTGATAATCAGTGATATAAATATGAATTCAGGGTTTTATTGCAACATTTGATGGGGAGAGAGCATGCAAAGCAGTTATGCATATGTTTGCTAGCAAATTGTTAGTAATAAAATTATGTATATTTCTAAACTTATTCTGAGGATTCGTGAAGTTGTGACTTTGGCAATCCTAGTTCAAGATTCACTTGTCTTTTATTATGCATCTTTATTAATCAGTAGCAGCAGCAGTTGTCGGGAAAGTCCATCTGCTCCATCTTCAAAAGAAATAAAGAAATATTCACATCGTGAAAAACCAAGTAGCTCCATAGAGGATGAAGTTCCTGTGGCTGTGAATGATTCCTTACAGAGTAATAGAATTCCATCCATTCCTGATGAAAGAGGTCAGAATTCAGTTGCTACCTGAAGTACATAGGTTTCAGTCCGAATTCTAGTCCAGTCTTCAGTTATTTTTGTTTTCTGCCTTGAACTATCAATTCTTCTGGCAGGGTCATACAGAAGGAATATAAACATGGATGAAACATTTTTCTGGCTGTTGCATGCATATCTTTACTACACAACTGTCATTTTTAATTACCCGTATATGTTTTCTGTTTCTTAATCTCTCTGGCATGTTAAACTGCTGGGGAATTTGCAGTCCTACTCATTATTCAGGGTGCCAGTTGCTCTTTCTGTTTCTGTTTCTGCTGGCCCTAAGTTATTGGCTGTGAAAAAAAATGCTAGTATGCAGACAATGATTTACATATAAATATTATGCCAGAAGCAGTTTCTCCTTTCTGTCAAATTCTAGAATTTCCAAAGAAAGAAATCTTTGTGGAGCCATGAACAGACCTGCAGACTTTGTTTTTCATTGGCTCTAGCACATCTTATGGCGCAAATGAATTACTGTTAGCAAAATGGTTGAAGGAATGATACAGTAATAATTTCCCATCCCCCCAAAATTCTGCTATTGGGTTTTGCTCCAATCCTAATCACATTTCCATTTAGTCTCTGCCCACATATGTTTGTTGGCATCCCTTTTAAGATGAAAAGGTTTTTGTAACAGCATCCTTATACCTCACAAAGGGGCCGTTACGTCACTCAATCACTCTTGTTCCCACTGCCAGCAACCATTCCTTCAAATGAAGCTTCAGGCCAAAGTATGATTTCAAAATAAAAACTTAGGTTTATTGTGTACAAACAAAAAGGAATGGTAAATCACTTGAATATAAATAATAAAGCAATCACTATAATAATATAACAATCACACACACACTCTCACAGACCCTCACTATATAGCACAGTTCTTATCTCAGAGTATTTCCAATCCCTATCTCCCTATCTCACAGCCCTAACCGTCCCTATCTCAAATCCCTATCTGGCCCTATCTGGCCCTATCTGAATCACTCACACCATTCACTCCCCTTATATACAACAGCTCCACCCATTATGTCCCACCCTCCGTCACGCCATTGGCAGATGACACACAGCTTCAGCAGTGACAGGCAGGTGATGTCATAGCTGTATGTAACAATACCTCCCCCCTTTAAAAGTTGTTTTGTGGGGGAAAGCTAAGGTGCTTTTCACCCAAAACAACTGGAAACAAAATCAAACATTACATTTTCCCCACATTTTAACACTTACCATTAACATATTAGGCACACTCTTACATAACTATATTATTCAAAATATACTTACACTTAAATAATCAATTGCATATATATATACAGATCAATATTCCAATAACCACATATTTTCATAACTTATTAAACACAGTTATTAATTTCAAGAGTCCAGTTTTTTTCATCTGTCGTCGTCTGGTCTTCGGGATAAGGCGTCAGCAACACAGTTCATAGTCCCTTTGACTACCTTAACCTCGAAGTCATAGTCCTGTAAAATTAAAGCCCACCT